AAAATTTTAGGTTACATCAAAAGCCCAAATACAATGTTAAATAGTGATATTGTCATATTGATGGAACTTGGTTCAACAGTGTTGTACCAAGTGAAATAATTTAAACAACCATCATGTATTATTAATAGATATCTATAAAGCCATCGGATGACACGACTTATAGAGTCATGCACACTTATTCACAAAGTGAATTGACACGTTTCCTATGATAAATACACTTTGGACACGTGTCATTACATTAAGTGGTGAATGACTCCATAAGAAAACGAATTTCTATAAAAGATATACAAACTTTCGCATTAAAATATACTAGAACTAATACCCATGTACAACATGGGTGTTGAATTAATGAATATATGTGTAAAGTTATTTATGTCTAATATCAAACCTAACTCCAGAGAAAAAATAATATAAAAACAACATCACGAAGCCTAGATTTTCGACATGTCAGCATCCGAAGCGTGAGAATCTGCCACCTAGGCTCAACACGTTTTGAATTAATATATAGGGAGGGATTTCTTCAAAAGCAAAACATTAACTAGCCGTCTAACTACTAGACTATGTAGTTAGGAAAAATGCTACAATCCCGTCGCGGAATGGTTTCGCGAGAGATTTTAACATTCAAATATATATGTGAGTTAGACTATCTCAAATATACATGTATATACATGTAACGGAATTGTAGTCTTTTCTTATAGTTAGACTATCTCACAACCTTTGTGAAATTTTTTAACTTAAAAGTCTTCTTGAATTTGGAAAATGCTTGCATTCCTTATTGATAATGTTGAGAATTGCTTCTTATGATAAAGATTCAAACTTATAAATGCGATGATTGTCTAAGAGGCTCATTACCTGATTGTCCATTAGGCTAAAAGATGTCCTAAAATACCCATACAAAAACACCACCACAATGAGAAGCAATGGCATATATCCAATTTTCAAAAGTAGTTGGGCTTGGATTTCATTTGGTAACTCATAACCATAAGCAAAAAGATTGAAATCAAGGAATTTCAAACGGAACATTTATATATATTAAAAAAAAAATCAAATATTACAATGAGTGCCGTTGATTCTGCACCTAAACAATTTTCAAGGTTGAAGAATGGCTGGGCCTTTCTGTAATTATAGAAACCTCAAAAGGACATTTTGTAGGTATCAGTAACTAGAATATCAATGACATTCAACAAGATACCACATAAATTTTACAGGGCCACTCAGATTATTATCTGAGAACATAACTTCACACCTACAGTGGGGTAATGTAAAGATCAACAAAATATCAACGTCCATGATATTTATAGATGATTTTTTCAACATTTCACGACACATACCCACATGGGTGTGTGAGTACTGTGCGATCGGACAGTCAAACCCCAAAAATGAACAGTATGCGTTAACAGACGGTCAAAACCTCCATTGTGCAGTATAAGATCAACAATTCCACAATTATAAGAAATAGTGTTACTTCAATTTCACTTAGTGCTCTTAAATTAAACGAGCCGAGCTAGAGCTCATTTAAAGCTCATTTAGTTAACGAGCTGAGCAGGCTCCCTAAGGCTCCAAATGAGAATTTCTATTTACTTTTCTATAGTCCCTCAGCTCTTAAGGCTTGCACTCGGTTCGTTATTAGTGATAAACGAGCCGAGCTCGTGCACAATTTCAAGCTCGTTTATTTAACAAGCTGAGCTCGGCTCGGCTTGTTATGGGCTCGAGCTCGGCTGGGCTCATTTACAGGCCTACTCTGAATCCAGCCATAATCAATTTCGTGTGCAACTCCTAAAGCCTTGACCCCAATTAAAAAAGAAAGGCATTTTCATTCAATCTTGTATTCGATTCAATTATCCAAACTAAAACCATGGATTAAAAAAAAAAAAAACATTCAATATTACAGTATGACAACCTTACAATGCAATAATAGATAATAACAAGAACAGAACATTAAAACTGTGCAAGTGAAGCCTGCTTACATTGCCAAACAAACGAACCACAAAATGCCAGCTTCAAAGCCAAGGCATCGAACATAGAATATATGGTTCTTGTTTGGGCTTTAGAATTCAACTTCCAAAACAGTACAAGCAATTAACAACACCAATTAGTATGCCGGATCAAACAAGTTCGACCGGCCTAAGAGTTAGACCGCCTCATACAAGAATTTGAATTTGTGTTAAAAATTATCACTTAACCATCAATCAAACAGACAGCTGAATGAAAAATAAAAACAGACAAACAAATTCAATATCAAATCAAAGAGCCGAATCAATTGCAATTCATATATTAGATGAAAAGAAGTCTTGAGATCTTTGAATTAGAAACCACATCAACACAAACCATCCATATTTACAAACCACCTGATCAGATAATGCATTATCAACACCTAATATTCATAATTCCATAGCATCAGTTGAGTAGATGTGAATATCACTACAGAACTCGCAACATTACCGATTTTGCCCCTGCTAGATGAAGGAGTGCTGCACGCCAAAGCCGTGCTTGCCGTACAAGCACCCAGGCCTTTTATAGGAAAAAGCCATCCTCTTGGTCTTGGACTTGTTAGGGTTTGGCCCACCCCTTTTCCCCAATTTCCTCAACCTCTCCTTGCCGAATCTGCCCTTCAGCTGCCATGGAACCAGCTCGTCATCGTAATCATAACCGTCGTCATCGTCGTCTTCATCATTAACATCTCCATCTCCATCGCCAAGGCAAGCGTGATCGTAGAGCGTCATCTCGACGGGAAGAGTCATCGGCGGCGAGGCCGACAGCGACTGGACAGCAACTACGTCACACGGGGTCACGAGCACGTGTTCTGATCGGATCGGGTCGAGATCGGGCTCGGCCTCCACCCCTTCGGCGACGATGACGTCGTCTCCGTCTCCGTCTCCGTCTCCGTCGCCCTCGCCGGCGACGTCATCCCCATCGAAGGAGTAGAGGTCCTCGTCGTCGGACTGAGACGCGCTGACGAGTTCCCACGTAGACAGATCGACGTCGTCGCACCAGGCGGCGGTGGTGGATCCGTCGCTCCTCCCCGTGGATGAGGCGGTTTTCGATAGGATTCTCAACATTTTCGCTTCAGAAAATTGATTTTTTTTTTTCCCTTTGGAGTTTATCCTTTCGTGGGAGATTATATTTGTGGCGAAAGTATATATAATATATATATTTTTTTTGGTTCATAAAATGGGGGAGTTTGGAGTGACGTGGCGCTCTTGAGTTGATTTGGGGCTTTTTTATTGGGCGTAAGCTATAAACCTTGAAATGCTATTGGGTGGTTGAGCGTGGCAAAGGCACCGGCATAATTTTTTTCTTTATTCCATTTTATTATCTTTTGCCTTATTATATTTTCAATAATATTTTTTTTTTTTCATAATTTATTTGTATTTCGAAGTTTGCTGTACAAGTTTATCTTGAAATTAAATTAAAAATTAAAGAGTAATGTTATAGGTACGTAACATTGTACATATGAGTGTACATAACATTCATGTTGAGTGGGACACACCAAATAAAAAATCAATACATAACATTCACGTTGAGTAATTAACCAAATAAAAAATCAAGTTGACTTCACTCCATGTGAATATTATGTATATATTTATGTACATTTATTATGTATTTGTAGTATTTTTCAAAATTAAAAGAGTCAATAACAAAGAATTGGTGAGTATCATTCCATCAATTATTGGATGTCCACCTTATAAATTCATTCCCAACTATTTATATATTTTACCTGAAAAAAATATACAAATAATTTTTTTAAACCCTGTAAAAATTTATTCATGAAGTAATATTTTTGACAGAAAGGGGAAAAACAAAGTGGAATAATTGATTTATTTTGAATGCATATGACCATGAGATAAAATATAAATAATTAAAATTGACATAATGTGAAATAATAATTATCAAAAAAATTGTTGATTAAAAATATGTAAATAGATAAATTAAAAAGTATATAGTAAACATTGTTTTATGTTATTCATAGTGTTGATAAATTAAAGAGAAATAATAAAAATGGATGAATAGTATACTTTTCTAAAAAATATATATATATTATAATCACAATTCTAAGGGAAAACAAAAATTGATCCTACATGACCAAACAGGATTTAATTTTAATTCAGTTTACTGCTTTTATATTATTTATTTATTTTGAGGGTAGAGGTGTGAGTAGATAAACTGATTTGAGGCATATTTTCAAGGAGGTACGAAAAAACATCTGCTTTAAAATAAGAACCACAAACCTTATAATCACACATCTTATAATGCATGTGTAAGCTGAATCATTTGGGCCTGGATACAAATTATCTTTGACCACATAATTTTTATTAATTCAATTTTATATTCTAAATATTACTGTCAATATTATTATCAAGATATTTAAATAATATTAATCAATTATCTTCATACATCATGCCATTTTATTTCAATATTTATACACTCACCAATATTAGTGGTATTATTAAATAATATCAATCTTTAAATATCACTAAACATTAATTCACTAAACATTAATTCACTATTTATCGACCTATAATTTTAATTCACTATTTATCCACTTACATAAATTTAACTGCTTAACACTAATAATCAATTATCTTCACATCAAGTCAATTTTAATCGTTATATTTCAAATGTATTTTAATACAAACTCAATAATCCACTTAAACTTAACTCAATCTAAAATTTTCAAAATTAACTCTGGTTATCCAACAAATCCAATCAAAATCAAAATAACTTTCAGCATTATCTAATCAAAACATGCATATAATTTGTACCACCAATTTTTTCCACATAAGAAGTTATTCATGTTTTAATCTCAGCGTCTTAAAATGACAACAATAATGCAATAATTGCACAAAACACCCCTGCAGTTTAGACTAATTACAAAAAACCTCAGTTGCAGACTTGCCAGAACGGAGAAAGAAGCTCATTTACCCACATTTGGATGGTATAACAATAAATAACTAAATAAAAATTCATTGTGTACCACCTTTGAGTGCTTTCTCAACCTCCTCAGCTCTCGATTGGATGCCTTTGAGGTACTCGATAAGAACACGCTGTTGATAAGATCCACCCTCCTGAAATCGGGCACAAGATTGATGGTTCGTGTGACAAAAGTTGGACCTTAAAACTAATAAAATGGAATTATTTCACAAACTGTGCTTACTGTTCTTATCAATGTCCTTTCCATACGTTTCTTTATGACAGCATATAGTTCTTCAGTGGATATGTTGCCTTTACCGATGTTCAATCCATTGATTAGTAGCCTATTCCATTCCGTTTCCGGAGCTGATACAAAAACAAGAATTATGCATTTTAATAATGTTTTCATAAAACGTCCATTTAAAAAAAATGAAGGTGTTATGTAGTTGTAGATCGGTAACGTTCATTTTTCATTTGCTGAACATGAGCCTACAAGATAGAAAACATGGATCATGAAAGACTAGTAAACCAAGAGATAGGAATCATCTCATATCATCTCATAACTTCAGCAATGTCATGAAAGTGCATTAGTGCATCTCTATGCTAAAACAATATCCTCTCTTCTTTTGTCTCTTTTCCTTTCGATTTTATATTTTTATTTTGAAGTTTTACACTCATGAATGAGAAAGTACCTTGTATTAATGTCTCAAGAAACTGCTCAGCTTTCAATATCTCATCCCCTAGCCAAAACAACAGGTGTGTAAGTCAGAAGTTCCAACTTTATATTTTACACAACATGAAAGTACTAAGTACAAAATAATGGTTGTGCGTTTGAATGTGTGTGCGTGTGTGTGTGTGTGTGAATATTATGTATTTAATTCGGGCAATTTGATTTCAAGTTGCTGATGGTCATGCCACCAAAAAACTAGGAAGATCCAACTCGTTAAAAAGGTAGATGCTAAACCTAACGAGGTGTAACAGGTGTTAAAAGAAAGATTACCTGCTTTATTTGCGATTAATTTGTTCCGGTAACAGAAATTCATTAATTTACAAAATAAAATAAAATGCAACTGCTATAATATTTCAGAATGTTGTATGAGAACAAACATGCATTACAACACCTTTTTTGGCATAACTACGCTTGGAGAGGACTCGGGAAGCATACAGTTGCAGGACTTTTTGCAGCATAGCTTCAAACCCTGGTTTATCACCATCTTCTTTTGCCTACACATTAGTTACGGCGTGCTTGAATACAAAAATATCCGCTCAAAGCGAGTTTGTTAACGAGAGTTAATTTTGAAAAAAATTGTATGGTCAGTTATTAGTGGGATTTTGAGTTTATATTAAAATAATACAACAACAACAACATACCCAGTATATTCCCAACTGGTTGGGGTCTGGGGGGTCAGACCTTACCCAGTATATATTAAAATAATATTTAAAATAAAATAATTATAATTGATTTGAGGTAAAAGTAGGAGAGAGATGATGTGAAGTGATGATTAGTTAAAATTATGTGAGTAAATGAATAGTGAATTAAAGTTGATGTGATGCGTAAGAATAGTTGTTTGGTATTATTAATTATATTGATAATATTGAAGATAGTGGAGTTAGTTAAGGTTGAGTTGAATTTTGAGTATGAATTGAAAAAATTTATAAACAACAAACACACCCTTACATTACTTGCACATCTCCAATTTACTGTCGTCTTGATGTTGAATCAATTTTGATATCCATGACCGTTAAACAATACCGGATACTAGGAAAGGATCGTGTTTAAAAATTTAGAAATGTATTTGTAGTGATTTCACAATTAATCTAATTGTTCAAAAATTAGCATTTTCGACCAGACATAGGTGTTAAGAAATTTAAAAATATTTTATGGGTAGATAAATGTACATGAAATGCCAATCTTACCTGCCGCAACTGTGCATTAACTTCTGAAAGAAAGCTCTCATCAAGGTGACCTTCTTGCTCCCTTTGGTGAAGTTCCTACATATGTCATGAGATACAGCAACAGCCATGATAAATCTTAAATTATTTATCGCCTAGTAAATAAGTGTTCACTATTCATGCTCATAATAAAATGTTTGATTGCTGTAAAAATTGGAAAATGTCATAAATTTCTAAAACAAATATCCGGGACAAACTTTTTGGAATAAGACGTAAATAATTCGGAACAGAGGGAGCATAAAACTGAGCCAGACTTTCAAATGATAAAAGATGATTAGACAACTAGAAATTGACACGCGGTGCAAGCAAAAATATATCAATCCCACAAGAGCATCTATTGAGAACGTGAATCAAGTTCAAGTTGACACAGAAAACATACTTTCTGCATGAGAATGAGAGCCTCAGGGTCTCTAGGAGGCCAAGTTACTTCTTCGTCTTCATCAACAGCGGGTTTTAAAATTGCCTTAAGCACATCTGTAGCCGAATCTATTCTTTCCTAATGAAATTAAACCAATGAACGGAACAAATGACTAACTTTAAGTATGACACAACATAAATGATGTAGAAGCTGCAGATATTAATAAAATGGAAGAGTATTTGTGCACAAACTTGAACAAATGAGAGTATATCCTATACATTAGTCTTGTGCACAAGACGATCCACCACACCCATCAATACTGTAGCCAATTCTTCGTAATCTTTCTGCAAGTAGCATTAGGAAAAGTATAAGAGGATGCTTGAATACAAAAATTCTCCAAAACATCCAAACATTTTTAGCCCAACAACTTTTTTTTTTAAACTCAACTCCACTATCATCAATATCAATATAATTAAATAATATCAATCAATCATTCTTACACACCACATCAACTTTAATTTGAATAACCATCACTTTGCATCATCTCTCTTACTTTTACATCAAATCAACTTTAATTATATCAACTTCAATTATTTTATTTTAAATATAATTTTTATATCCACTAACAACTAACCATACCACCTCTTTTAAAATTAATCAAACCAAACCAAAAAATAAAAAAAAAAAATCTTATATCCAATTTCAAGTAATCTCCAAGTCATATGTAAATAAATCTTGACTTGAGTTTAGAACCATACTTTGTCATCTTCAGATTTGCATGTTTCTGTCTTAGCTGCAAGCCGTATCCAAAAATCCTCATTAAAAGCAAAAACATTCTCTGCAACAAGCTGCTGAAGCTGTTCAAACATAGAAACAAGATGAAGTGAGTCGATTATCACTTAAGTTGAGGATAATGATCAATTCTAGGGAATAAAGCATGTCGATAACAACTTGGGACACAAGGATGACAATATTAGATAAGCGATTAAAACAAGTAAACAAAACTTATAGATAATAATGAATGTGTAAGTGATGTCTATTAACAATTAATGAATTGACTTATGAAGATATAATGTGTGCTGAACTTGAGATTTACACTACATGCAACCACTAATCCAAGGTAGCAACAAGCATATAGTACCATAACCCAACGACAACCCGAAACAGAATGATCTAATTACAGTTGCATTTGATATTTTTTTTTTTTTTCCTTAGGTCTTTTCTAGAAAAAGTTAAATATGATGAAGAAAAAGAGTGATTGGGGATATCAAATTACACTTTCATACAACAGCATGATTTTCACTCGGTTTGCTCTATGAGGAGAATATTGTGAACATACTCATCAGAGGATCTATTTGTCCATTGCAAATGAAGCTGGAAGAGTCATTGTTGACAATTCTCCTGGCATAGTGCTGCTAATAATGGACTAGATCAAAATGGCTCAATTAAATTTTAGTGCTTCTTCTATTAGTGAAGTTTCTAGAAAAAAATATATCAAACGACGCAATGCACCTTGGGTCGCTACGGAAACAGCCTCTTTGTATAATTACAAGGGTAAGCTCTGCGTACAACTGACCCCCAGACCCCAAATAGTTGGGAATATACTGGGTATGTTGATGTTGATGATGACTCATCAGAGGATCTATAACATTGCAGCAGTAATATTTAAGGCATTATCAATATGGAAACCACTATAATAGACTTCTAAGTACTCAACATCTACAACTGAATATAAGATTCATGCAAACTGAACATCATAAAAAGGACCGACTCACTTCTTTATCGTTGGCATCTCTTAGCATGTCTATGAGTCTATCGACTTCCAGGGTTCTTTGAAATGATTTTTCGGCATCCTTCTTGACTGCACAAATCAAAGTTGTCCTGTTTATTAAATCCAGGTGAGAAATTGTGATAGTTATTACAAATTCTGGAATAATGACATTGTATAGTTAGAGAAGACACTTTCGGAAGAGAAATTCCAGCATCGCTTTATTTCAATACTTTGATGACACTATATAGTTAAAGAATCATATTTCCCCATAATTACTTTATATAAATTGTAACAAACAATCTGATTTGTCCCAGTGCAGGAGTGGGGCATGCCAAATTACCACAAAAGACATTGATGAAAAACGTCTAGACTATTAGTTAGTAACTACAGTTACATGAATTTGCATGAATTAGCTCAAGCATATACCACTGCGAAAAGCAAACTACTCTAATTTTTCATTATCACAATATTTATTCAATTTAGTGAACCGAAAACATGATCTTAGCAAACCAGTGTATTTCAGGTTTCAATTTTCATGTTGATTTAGAGCATGCTCTCCGTGTTTCCAGGCAACTGGTACTAGAAATCACAAAATGCGTGATTTTACCCCTGGCAACAAGCAAAGCACCATACTATATAAGCCACAGACTAATTTCTAAGTTCTTACGCTACAATT